TGAGATCCTGAACTCCACCATTTCATGGTCAGTACAACCAAGGCTACCCTCGACCTTCAGCGCTTCAATCAGACCCTCCTTATTAGTGAGAATAAGATCCAGCAGCGCTACTCTCCTAGTAGGCTCATCCACCATTTGCATCAGGAAGTTATCATCAATGCACTGAAGGAACCTCCTGGACTGTGGATGGCTGGCTGAGTAGGCCTTCCAGCAGATATCAGGATAGTTGAAGTTCCCCATGACAACCAGGGCCTGCATTTGCGAGACCGCTGTCAGCTGCCTGTAGAAGGCCTCATCGACCTCCTTATCCTGATCCAGTGGTCTGTAATAGAAACCAATAACAGTATCACACATGCCAGATTGTCCTTTAACTCGCACCCACAAGCTCTCAACTTGCTCTTGATCTGCCCCTGGACAGAACTCAATGCACCCTAGCTGCTCCCTCACGTAAAGAGCAACTCTACCACCTCACCTTGCTGGCCTGTCTTTCCTGAAGAGGACATAGCCATCCATGACCACATTCCAGTCATGCGAACTGTCCCACCAAGTCTCAGTAATTGCTACAAGATCATAACCCCCTGATGGAACACAGATTTCTAACTCCTCCTGTTTGTTCCCCATGCTGTGTGCATTGGTGTACAGGCATTTCAGAGAGCCAGCTGAGCACGCTGATGTCCCCCTAGGGGGGTGGGAGGCCTTATTCCCTGAGCCTAGTTTACTTAGCCTAGTTATATCCCCCTCCCCCTTCAAACCGAGTTTAAAGCCCTCTCCATGAGCCCTGCCAGCTCTTGAGCCAGAGTCCTTTTCCCCCTTTGAGACAGCTGAAATCCATCATTGGCCATCAGACCCGGTTCTGTGAAAGCCTCCCCATGATCAAAGAAACCAAAATTATGTTGGTGGTACCGGCCTCTGAGCCATCTGTCAATCAGGTGTGTTTTCCTGTTCCTTTCTGTATTCTTTCCTGCCACTAAAGGGATTGAGGAAAACACTACCTGCACTCCTGACCCTTCAACCAATCACCCCAATGCCCTGAAGTTCCTGAGACCTGGCTCCCAGGCAACGTTTAGCGTTGGTGCTTCTGATTCCTGTGGTGGATAGGCAGCCTTGCGGGTTCTCCTGTCTGCTGGTACTGCCATGAGAGTCCTGACTTCAGGAGGCGGCTGTGTGCGGACGGCTTCCTCCTCCTGCAGGCTGGCTCACAGTTCTCCACACGGGGCTGAGCCAGCACGAAGGCACCAGTGGAAGGGTTAGAGCCTGCAGCAGCACGAACACCTCCACTTACAAAAGCTTCTTCACCCCTCTCGTCCCTGTCCCACAGCCATAGGAAAGATATTCAAAAAATCCTCACAGTGGTCCTAAGAATCAGATTTAAGTAATGGGGAAATTATTATATTTGGGGAATATCTGGAAGTGTAAGAGCCTCTAGGCTTCAATAACCATTGGAAGTCTTTCCTCTGCATTTGGGGAGGACAGGGCAGTTACCCTGGCTGAAACAAACAAGAGGTGCAGTAAAATTCTCTTGTAGGCAGTTTGAGCCTTTCTAATATATTTCAGAGACTGCAGAATAAACTAGAAGTAAATAGTACTGTAACGTGGTTCTTAATATTGCATCAAGCTTTATATGCATAGAGGGAGGCAGAAAGGAAAAGAGACAGGTTCGTGTGTTTTTTTCACAAAGTTTGCAAACTAGCAACAAGTAGCTATTACTCCTTACAGTATATTTGGTATGTTTCTGATATGTTTTCTCACTTTTCTGATGCTTCTTCTGCATTGTGGAAATGTTAAATCAGTGTAGTTTGCCTGTGTGTGCAGATGTGAGGGGAAATCTTTTCTATTCCCCTTTCTCCCTCGACCTGATGCTGAACACAGAAATCAGAGAAAAAGACACTCAAGAGAATAAGTGAATGGCAGCAAAAAACCCCCCACAGCTGGAGGGCTAGGTGTTAGCAGCAAGCTGAACAAGATAAAGGACTGACACAAACCTCAGACAGGAGTGGCAGGAAAACACGCATCCTAGAACAGCTTTGAAAGAAGCATTTGGTTAAGATTTTACAAGTTAGTCACTGCATGTTAATTACTGTTAATGGAAAGATTGAAAATAATAAAAGCAATTTATCTCAGTCCAAAGAAATTAGTCTTAATGACACGTTTGTACAGCACATAGAAAGACATTTTGATGAGGATCAGCTCAACATCTGCATGTGTATAGTGTGTATAACCGCAGTAGGTCCTTGTAAAACATTAGGTCAAACGTGAGATCATCGGCTTTGCTGAGACTTTTCTTGGGTTCCAGAGGTCTGAGAAATGACTTAATCTGATCTTCTGTGGGGTCTGCAGGTGCGCAAGTTTCTGAAAATAAGGGTCATAGAATCATAGAATCATAGTATGGTTAGAGTTGGAAGGGACCTCAAAGATCATCTAGTTCCACCCCCCCTGCCATGGGCAGGGAAATCCTCCACTACACCAGCTTGCCCAAAGCCTCATCCAACCTGGCCTTGAACCAACCCTTCCAGGGATAGGGCATCTACAACTTCTCTGGGCAACCTGTTCCAGTGCCTCACCACCCTCAATGTAAAAAGTTTCTTCCTTATATCCAATCTAAATCCGTCCTCTTTCAGTTTAAAGCCATTGCCCCTTGTCCTATCACTACACGCCCTTGGAAAAAGTCCCTCTCCAGCTTTTCTGTAGGCCCTCTTTAAGTACTGGAAAGCTGCTATAAGATCACTCCGGAGCCTTCTCTTCTCCAGGCTCAACAGCCCCAACTCTCTCAGCCTGTCTTCATAGCAGAGGTGCTCCAGCTCTTGGATCATCTTTGTGGCCCTCCTCTGGACCCGCTCCACTAGCTCCATGTCCTTCTTGTGCTGGGGACTCCAGAGCTGAACACAGTATTCCAGGTGGAGTCTCATGAGAGCTGAGTAGAGGGGCAGAATCACCTCCCTCGACCTGCTGGCCACACTTCTTTGAATGCAGCCCAGGACACGGTTGGCTTTCTGGGCTGCAAGTGCACATTGCCGCCTCGTGTTGAACTTCTCATCGACGAGCATTCCCAAGTCCTTTTCCTCAGGGCTGCTCTCAATCCATTCTCCGCCCAGCCTGTACTTGTGCTTGAGATTGCCCTGACCCACGTGCAGGACCTTGCACTTGGCCTTGTTGAACTCCATGAGGTTCTCACAGGCCCACCTCTCCAGCCTGTCAAGGTCCCTCTGGATGGCATCCCTTCCCTCCAGCATGTCCACAACACCACACTACTTGGTGTCATCTGCAAACCTGCTGAGGGTGCACTCAATGCCACTGTCCATGTCTCCAACAAAGATGTTAAATAGCACTGGTCCCAGTACTGATCCCTGAGGAACACGACTTGTCACAGGCCTCAACTAGGACATTGAACCATTTCTCTATGTTGTCCTTTATGTATGCCTATTGTGTTAGGCCTGCTCTGCATCTTGAGAAACAGAAGAGATGTTACAGGACTTCATCAGGGTGGTTAAGGAAACACTGTTGGCCTTGGGATCTGCCTTTCTGGTGCCTGTGGCAAGTTTTATCCAGTTTTCCCATCCTGCTTGGCTTTTCTATATCATGTATTTGAAAAATAATTCTCTTCTAATTAATAATTCTCTACTAATAAGTAGCATGAATTCCCTTTGGGACTATGGTGAAGTCATTCACCTGGTGTGTGATTCAGTTTCTTTGTGCATACAGAAAAGTTAATACAGTTCTTACCTTTGTTTGTATTCAGTCATTACAGCACTCAATCAAATCTCTGGTGATGCAAACTGAGGTGTACAAGTGTGAAAGGGTAGGGATTTCTCATCCAAGTATCTTGAGTAATTGAAGCTATCTAGGCAGAAATCTTGCTGAGTAAAAAAGGGCAAAATATGATTGACATCGTTACGTCCTTCATAAAATCTAATGAGTGGTAAGCATACTGGGAAGGATAATGACTCTAGGTGAGCATTACCTACAGAGATCCCTAATTGAATAGCTCTGCTTAAACCATTCTTTTTAATGACTCTGAGTTGTGCATTTGTTGCCATCTTGGCTACTGCTGTAGGATTGATGATTGGATTACCTCTGTCACTCGGGTGGCCTAAGTGATCTGAACTAGCGCTGCTCTTTGCCACCTTGGAATATTTCTCTACATTTAGTTCTTTGATGCATGAATGCAGTAAAGCAAGGGGTGCAGCCTTTTTCCAGTCGTCTTCCACCTTCAAATGCAGATGTCTCCAATGATGGCAGAGTAAACAACCTGTTGAAGGAAAGCTTGACACATATGCTCCTGGTTTCTACATGTTACTCTGAACAAGAAGAAGCACATGGTGAGCTGATGAAGGACCTACCTAGTTTTGTTGCAGTGGAGTCTCATCAGTGTTGCTCCCTTACAGTTTTTTTTTTAGGGTGGAAATGTCATCTGCTGCACCTGGATGAGTGGGGTGGAGACCTCTTAAATGGTAGTGGTGGTGATAGTAAGGGTTTGAGTTGCTAGGGGTGAGCAGAATGAGGAGGCTTAGAGTTCTGGTGTGGTCCTCTTTGTGGCGCTACGAGGACTCCTGCCTCAGGCCCTTTGCTCAAACTCTGCTGAGGTTCCTGGGCTTCGTCCTCTGGGGTGCTGCTGCAGCTCTGGCTCTTGGTGGAGTTTTTGTCATCCTGCTGTATGAGAACTACAGATTTTTATTTCAGGGGTCTTTCATGTCTCTCCCTGGCTGGCTGGCTGCTGCAGGTGCACTCATCTTGTTACCTACTGGAGTTTTGGCTATCTCTGTTTCTACTAAGAAGTCCCGCTATCAGCAAGGGACTCTAATGTACTTGCTGCTGATCCTTCTTTGTCTAGAAGTGTCTTCAGCTGTTATGGCACGGTTCTACTCTATTCGAATGACTTCTGAGCTGAAAAACACTATGGATCACCTTGTCTATCAGTACAATAGGACACACTCTCAGGCTTCTGGCAGCAGGGCTGTGGATGCAATACAGAGGAAGCTGCACTGTTGTGCGATCCAGAACTACACAGACTGGCTAAATGTAACAACTGCTGCTTGGAATATTCCAGCTGAAAAAGGTCGAGTCCCTGAAAGCTGCTGTAAGGACAAGTACTCTCACTGCAGAGGTGACTTAGACCATCTGGAGGAGATTCATCAGGAAGGCTGCCTAAAGAAGCTGGAAGGCCTGTTGAATTTTGTCATGGTTTATGTGTTTTGGTGCTGTATTGTGCTAAGTGTCTTAGAGCTGTTCGTTGGTGTCAGCAATGGCATCCTCATGAGGCATCAGTCTTTCCGTGACCTCCGAATTCTGGACTCATCTAGCTTCTCATAGACCTGTAAACACTGGCAATATTGCTGAGCCTGCTGCATTTTTCATTGGTTTTGTACAACTCTGCAGTTACATTGGAAGAAAACTTATTTTTTTAATATATTTAAAATCAAATGTAAATATGAATCAAACTAATTGGTTGCTGCTGCTGGATTTTTTTTCTTTAATGTTACAATATTAGGTCAGTTTTCCTCTAGCTCTTGTTCAATATGCATCTGGTATCTGAAAAACTTCTTTACTGGAAGTCACAGCAGGGAGGGGAGGGTCTTCAGCATATGCAAACATGAAAATACCGTATGTAAGTAGGGAAGCAGTAGATACAGATAAATCTTGTTCCGGGGAGTATGTTGTGAGGTCATGACCTGAACTTTTGGAATAAATATTTACTGTACTAGGATCTTGAAAAGTAATTAAAGAGCAGATTCCCCCCACCTTCAAACTTGTGTTTAATGCTTTGATATTTCTAAAAATAGCCCTTTGGATAAAGCCTTATACTTTTTTCCTCCTTCAAACAGTAGTTTAAAAACTAACTTATTCTTCAGTGAAAATAAATGTCAACTTTTGAAGTGGCATAAGGGTGCAATGTAAATGGAGAAGATGTGTTTAACAGCAGCAGAGTGACTAATAAGATGACTTGCAGCAGGTGGTATAGTTATCTCAGGAGTTGCACAGGAACAATTCACAAATTAAAGAAGAGGAAGAATGTCTGTCTGTATGTATTTATTTTGTGTCAAAGCAAGGAATGAGTCAATTCTCCTTTTCTGAAAAGTTATGTGGAATCATGTGCATGCTAGAATGATAACACCAATATGCTGTTTTTTCTGTCCTACTTTTGCTAAATTCTCCTCTTATCCATGTTCTGTGGGTCTCACTTGGTCCACATGTGCTGAAAGGCACTAAGTGAAAGTAAGGGCTATCCACAGTCTTGACTATGTCAGTGCTGTTGGTGTTTAGGGAGGTGCTGGTAAAGGCTCTCCTCCACCTGTGTCGGACCGCGCAGTGGTTGTGGTTGTGAGTTCTCATACATATGTCTGTATTTGGAAAATGTCCTCTGCGTCGCTGCTGACCTGTGCACAGGAGCTGCAGCAGCTGCATCCTTTGGTGAGTGTATGTGGGGGAATCTCCAGGGCCTACAGGTGGATCACATTAGGCTTTACCAGACTGGGAACAAGGAAACCCTCTGTGTCACAAAAGCTACTGGACAGGGAACTCCCTTAGCACTTGAAGCAGTGGTCAGCTAAATCTTTTTGTTGCTTTAAATTTTCTAATGAATATCAGGTTCTTTATGACAAATTTCAAAAACCAAATTACCAGATGTTGATTGTCATGATGGAAAAAAAAATCAGAATGTAAGTCAGCTGCTGCAGGCTTATTAATAACTATGTGGAAAACAACCCACGCATGTACTACAGGGCTGCTCTGTTAAAAAAAAAGAACACACCTTGATTTAGATAAAGGAAAATTCTTTCAAAAAAGAAGGGATGTTCCAAAGTGGAAAAGGAACATAGCTCTGTCTTTGAGTAACATAATAGAAAGAAATATTTCTTTTAGTTTACTTCACATGGGATGCCTGTGGCAGCGAAAAAACAAATAATCTGGTTAAGCACTGCAGTTGGGTCTTTATGGCTTCGTGGTACCCTGACGCATAAATATTTTGTGATGTGAAGTTATTGCTATGACATTACAAAAATGCAATGAAATTGGTGATAGCAAGTGGCCCAGGAAGAAACTGAGTTTCTTAAAGAAAGAAAGGTGGAAGGGTGGAGTGGGTGTAGTGCCTTTTTACCACCTATCTCTCTTAAGGGGGATGTTTTTCTTAGATCAGTTCTTAATCCCTTAGAACTTCCTTCACAGGTTCTGATCCAGAATCTCTTTAAAAAGTGGAATGTCTACATTTCTCACTACTAAGTGAAAAAAACTTACTTTTTGTGGAAAATACTCTTACTGTACTAAGAAAATTATGAGATAAATATGAAATAAACTCCTCTCCACATCTGAGAGTTAACTATAAAAAATGACTTTTAGAAATTGTTTTTCCCCTACAAACTAGATGTGCCTCTGGAAGATCAGATCTTAAACCTGGTAAAAACAAAGGAGAGAGCATGATGATGTATGAGATAAACCTACTACAGATAGAAATGGTTCTTAGTGGAGAGTTGCTAGACAAAACAATAGATTTATTATCCCTTTCTGCTTGTGTTGACTTGGTCAATTTGATTCTGAATAGTTACTTCTGGACAGGAGTAATTTCTTTTGAAATAAAAATGGTGTTATTTTTAAGTAACTGCAGTGTATTTGTTTTATACATAAATCCTTGGGTACTATTGCAATATATACATTGCACGCTTCATTCTGAAAGGATCTCCAGATGTTTTTCATAATCTATGAAAATGAGCAGCTGTATAGGCAGGCTGCAGATGATGCACGGTCAACACTTGTGATAATTGTGTTTCTTTGGATTTGAAGGGGAGAAGCTGGGGCCCAGTGCAAAAATGGAAATATATTCCGTGGTTACTCTTTTGCATATTATACTGCAATGCATATATTCTGTGTGTGAACTGGTGATTTCACTGTGATGTCTTCTAAGAAGACAACAGTTAAGAAGGTAGAATTAATACTGAAAGGTCCTGTTTCCAGTATGCCTCTCTTGGACAGAACCACGAAGCTTGGCAGCAAGAACTGGCTGCAGCTTTACAACATGGCCATTTTTAAACTGATTGCTGTTTTCTGACTCCTTCACCTTTCCAGATGGTATGTTGAAATTATACTGTTTGGTGTTTTTTTTTTTTTTTCATTTTTCTGTGTGCCTGTTGGTCTTTCTGTCTGTCTTTTTTTGTCTTTCCTTCTTTCTGTCTCTTTTGCCTAGAAGGAAATCCCAACCCCACCACCCTGGATGAATGGTGGCTTATTTTAACTCTAACTGAGCAGAACATAATCCAGATTCTGGAATTATGAGTTGTCCTTCATCAAGTCTATTGTCCTTTTAGTTAAAATTATATTATGTTTCACAAATACAAAGTGGAAAGATCTGGGTTTTGCTAAAAGATAATTGAAGATTCAATTCCTGCCTATCTTCCATAGATACTGTTAAATCACTTAAAGTTACTCTTTAATTGAAATCATGGCTTTTTTGATCTCGTAAAGTTTTTTTCTTGTTCAAGGAAGCAGGAGGTTTTAGTCCTATTCAATATGTTTGTTCTTAGAGATTGAGTTGGATGATCTCCACCAGCTAGAAAAGATTATGCGGAACAGCTAATCCTTTTTCTTTTTTTTCCTTGATAAACAGGGTATTTTCTTTAGAGCAACACCAGTGGTAAGGCCTTTGCCAATATCTGGCAGCTGCTACCTCAAACACCAGGAAGAAATCCCATTGTGTGTGATTGTCCCTTGAGCCAAATGGCTCTTTCAAAGCAATGGAACATTTTCTGAGCACATTTCTGAGAGCTAGAGTTGCCAAGTTGACATTTACTTGGTCTGAAGTGTTGGAGATGAAAGACTTCATGTCATCTGTTATTAATATTTTTAGGTGTCAGAAATCAGTTTTTATCTTGAGGGCTCCTTTCTACCTTTTTTTTAAAAAAAAGAAGAAAAGAACTGTATCTTCAAGAAAATAAACATTCTGTTATTGCCTGCTGTATACTGTAAATCACTGTGGAAACACAACCTGATTTTCCATCTAGATATGTAGTTTTACTGAAGAATTCAGGAAGTTCCTACAGTGAGTTTAATTGCCTCAGTGTTGCTCTGATATACCATGGAAATCTGTTTTGTAATGCAAAGTGATGTTATCTGTCTTCTCCAGAAGAGGAAAAACTAAATATTTCATGTACTGACTTAATACCTAAGGGGTTCAGCTCTAACAGCAGCTGTGCATGTGAATAACTGGATTTCATCAGGAAAGCTCACACAGGTAAAGCTACCCAGGAGCACACACGTTTCCAATTTCACACCTTCAAACTGAAGGAAGACGGCTGTACCTGCCTGGCACAGAATTTGTATGAACCTGTAGTTAAATCCTTGTGGGGATTGTGGAAGAGGAGAAGGTTGCACAAGCTAAACAAGACAACACAGGGTATATCCATATCGTTGCTAAAGCAAAGTGAACAGTAAGTTTTTTGAAAAATTATACTGCTGGTTTGAGAAAGAAATATTAGTCTTGTGCTTAAGGCATGAAAGACGAAAGCAGCAGGCCGTAGCTCTGGATAGAACCTAGGAGAAATAATAAATCCTTAAATCAACTCATGTATAGAATCACAGCATGGTTTGGGTTGGAAGGGACCTTAAAGATAATCTAGTTCCAACCCCTCTGCCACAGGCACTGATATCTTCCACTAAATCATATTTCTCAAAGCCTTATGCAACCTGGCCTTGAACACTTCTAGGGATGGGGCAGCCACAACTTCTCTGGGCAGCCTGTTACAGTGTTTCATCACTCTCATTGTAAAAAATTGCTTCCTTGGATGTAATCTAAATCTACCTTCTTTCAGTTTAAAGCCATTGCCCCTTATCCTATCACTACATGCCCTTTCAAAAGGTCCCTCTCCAGCTTTCTTGTAGGCCCCCTTTAGGAACTGGAAAACTGCCAGAAGATCTTTCTGGAGCCTTCTCTTCTCCAGGCTGAACATTCCTTTCAGTTTTTGTCACAATTTTATGTGTAATCCTAGAGAAAATACCTTCTAAAACCACTTATGTGTGTTTCAGAGAGAGAATGTTTGAATATACAGTATGTAATTTATGAGTATAGGTGCGCATACTTACACAGAAACTGTATACGGATATTATTGTGGAGCCTTCTAGAACAGCAAGTCAAAAGATCATTATTCAGCTTGTAGAAATAGGTGATTAATAAAGAAATATTCTTCTGAGTGCTCTGTGCCCTGCACAGACTTGGATTGGATGAAAACTCTGAAACGAGTCATTGCATGAAAGAGTTGTGATTTCTTTCAAAAAAGATCCTTTCGAACTAAAGAAACTTCAAATGGTAGCTGTAGACCATTGGAAAT